TGTGTTTGTGGATTACAGGATGAATACAACAATGAATCACAGTACAAAGTTTTAATTTTTATAGATAGAGTTAAAATGAGACAGACATATATTAATCAGTTGTTATTTGACTATAATAAGACTATTGAAAGAATCATCTAAAAATAATTATTCATAAGCAGATAAAAACAAATTCTTTACCTTCAAAATAAACTTTATAATTGAAAAAAAATATTTTCACAAATATTTCATTTAACTTTCACAAGAATTCTGTAAAATGATGGAATCATTTCCCAACTTAAAGAGAAGGAGAAGCCTCTTATCTGAAGTCACATGTCAGTAAATGAAGACCAACAGCATAAACCTAGACCTTCTGATACCAAGCCACACATTTCTTCTGTGTCATGTGTCCTATCACCATTTCAGTCACGAAGGAAACAAGACCCTACATATAGTGAACTTTCTTCCTTTTCTACTTCCCTTTCAACTCCTTTCAAAAACCTGATTCCTTACTTTACAGTCCAAATCTTTGGAAGCGTACAGACAGCTTGAATGCCTGTCAAGTTTAGAAATATGAAACTAAACCAAACTTTTGTAGCTCTAGTTGAGGGGTTAGGGTCAGAAACAATGTGTTGCTTCTGTCTTCTGGACCCTGCTGCAACAATATTATTCAAAATTCTCAACGCTCATCTTGAGAAATCTTTACCATCTTGATTTTATGCAAGGGACAAGCCAAAACACATGAATTGCAGACACGTATTCCATCTGTTTGTAAGGCTTTCATCATCTTTTCCTAATCAATAATCCTCTCATCATTATCTCTGCCTTTTCAAAGCACGAACTCCCGCTTTTATTTGTATACAATTGGCATCTCAGGACCCCTTAGCATCCCTCATGTGCCCAGGAGAGAGCATAGAGTGACAAACTCAAAACAAACAGGATATTTTTAAAAGTAAGAAGAATTTAATGAGGTTTTTAAAGCATAGATATAAAATGGTCATATTCTTCAATATAGCAATAAACATCTGGGTTATAAAATAAGAAATTATTCTTTGGACAGATATTACTTCAATATGGCTATATCAAATCATTTGGTAAAGAATTTATGAAAAGAATGCCTTAAAGATGCATGGGGAAACTCTCCTACTTTCTAAACTTTAATTAGTATAAACAAAATAGAATTTAGGCCCTGGTTACAAATTAGTAGTCTTCCTAATCCTATATATAAGCAATGTGAAATCCCATTCTGGATACATACTCAAGAAAAATAAAAATGTATGTCCACACAGAAACTATATGAATATTTATAGCAGGATAATGGATAACTCATAATAGCCAGAAAATGAAAATAACCTAAATGTACATCAATTGAGGAGTAGATTTTAAAAAACAAAAAGCATTACATCTATACAAAGGAATATTATTCTGCCATCCAAAGGAATGGAGTATTGATACATACTACCACTTACATGAACCTTAAAAACATTACATGAAGTTAAAGAAGCCAGTCACAAAAAGACCAAATATGGGGGCCTGGGGTTGTGGCTCAATGGTAGAGCACTTGCCTAGCACATGCAAGGCGCTGGATTCGATCCTCAGCACCACATAAAAATAAATATATACAATAAAGGTATTGTGTCCAACTACAACTAAAAAATAAATATTAAAAAAAGACCACATATGGTCATAGGAAATGTCTAGAAGAGGGAAATTCATAGACAGAAAAGAGGTCAGTGGCAGTTTACGCAAGGACCAGGGGGTGAGGAAAGAGGAGTTTCTTTATGAGGTCATGAAAATGTTCTACAGATGTCTGAATATACTAGAAACCACTGAACTGTATACTTCAAATGGTTGAATTGTGTAATATATATATATATATATATATATATATATATATATATATATATATAAAATATTATATTATATTTCAAAAAGCTATAATTTTTTAAAATTTAGTAAGTAAAAATCACCCACAGAAAGCACTGGTAGCATCCCTTCTCTGCCCTCTGTTCAGAAGCTTCTAAACACTAAGGCTCTTAAAAATGTCCTACAGGTTTTTAGCACAAGATGTGAGAATGAAAGAAAATATTCTTCAGAGTTTGTGGTAGTGTCATGACAATTCAACATTTAAAGAGGACAGTGGTATGTCTGAGAAAACTACTACCAGATACATCCTCCCAGAGATTACAAGTACAAACACAGAATGAAATTTTTAAAAGTGACCACCATGAGGTACCAGAGAGGGAAGAAAGGCCAAGTCTGGAGGGGAGTTGACTCCTGGAAGAAAGGAAGAGCAGAGGTGCACTTCAGGTTGTTTACCCCATTAGCCTGGGAGCAGACCACTTGGCACTACAGAGGGAGAGGCCAGGAAAACACACTGGGCAACCTCAGGGGACACTCCATGAGGTTGGGCTGAGGCACTTTTTCTATCTTCCTTCTTAGTTACCCAATTCGGTCTCACCTCCCTTGACTTATGTGAAATCCAGTATTTCCAGATTGCTTTCTTTCTTCTCTGACCATTCTTCCTTTATCTCTTGTTCCCTCCTTTCTTTGTTTACCCCTGAAGTGCTGGCATTCTCCAAAGCTTTGCCCCTCACATTTTAATCAATAGGTTTTCTCTTACAGTTCATAGATTCCTGCAGTGTTCACCACCACTGAGACTCCCATGTTCTTAACTGCCCCTAAGGCTCCCTCCCTGGATGCCTCTCACTTCAGACCTCAACAGTAGGGTGTGAGTTAAATTCCAATAAGCCAAATATCATGGTCACAGTTTCTCTTTGAATTCCCTTAGGAAGCAACATGTTGGAACTCTTATATCCTCCATTTCTTAGCCTCGCCTGTCGAATTTATTCAGGATAAATGCACTTACCCTGATTCCACTGTATTTGCTTGTCCCACAATGTCTGTAAGTCCAAACCAAACCTCCAACATGTCTTCCATCCACCTGTATCAGATTTCTCCACCGTTACTTCCTACACTAACAGATGACACTAAAAATCAATCTGGATACCCATGCCAGAAATTCAGGAGTCAGCTTTGACTTTTCCCCCTCCCTCGCTCCAAAACCCAGCAAATCTTTATTTATGTTGTTTTAAATCTACCAATGCCTTATTTCAAACTTTCATCACCCTCTGCTTAGATCATAGCTAGAGACCCCACTGGGCTCTCTGCCTTCATTTCCTTCTATCCAGTTCTACCGCCTTTTGCAAATGCAAATATGATCAGATTTCTCCTCTTGGAAACATCCTCCAATTGTTACTCACCACCCATGGCAGTGATTTTCAAGCACTTTTGCAGCAAATAAATACAGTCTGCCCTCCTTGTCCATGGGTTCTACATCCTCAGATTCAAACAACTGTCAATGGAAAATACTAAGGGGAAAACTGCATCTGTACTGAACACACAAAACTTTTAAAAATTCTTATTCCCTAATAATATGGTTCAATCCCTAATACCAAAAAATAAATAAATATATATATATATATATATATATATATATATATATATATATATATTATATATATATATATACATATACATACATATATACATATATACTCATGTATTTGCATAATACATATATAAATAAATTCATATGTGTGTGTGTGTGTGTGTGTATATATGCTATTTTACACAGAGGACTTGAGCATTTGTGGGGTTTGGTGTTCAAGGGAAGTCTTGAAACCAATTCTCCATGGATAACAAAGCTCAACTGTATTATTTTCATATAAATAACATATAAGATTCTAATATCAGGGTCAGGGTTGTGACTCAGTGGTAGAGCACTTTCCTTGCATGTGTGAGGCCCTAGGTTCAAACCTCAGCACCACATATAAAATAAATAAATAAACAAAAATAAAGCTACTGTGTCCATTTAAAAAAAAGGGGGGGAGTTTTTTTTTTTAAAAAAAAAAGATTCTAATATCTACAAATAAATAGGAGCTTTATTTTGCTGACATTAATGTCTTATTCATTCAATAAATGAGAAAATAAATCAATCAATGAGAAAATAATGGGTAGTTTTTATGAAATAAAAATTAAAAAATCATTAGTAGTGGAATTAGATCAGCATCATTCTGCCATTTATTTCTCTACTTTATCTAATTGCATGCATTCAAAAATCCTAATTTATATCATTAGGTAGCTACCAATGGTAATAGTTTGCTGTTTTTTCCCAACAGTTCACCTTTCAAATTATGGGTATAATTCATTTAAAGAGAGATAGCAAGATACAAATACAAGTGAATTGTTAATTAACCTGTCAGCACATATTATTACTTGGTTGCTGGCCACTGCTTGGTTAAAATTTAGAATGTAATATCTCGAGTATGTACTTAAGTTCTATTTTTAAAAATGAAAATCAAAGCAAACATTGGTGCAATCTTCCTTAGAACCTGGGTTCCATGGAACGGAGCTTAAAAACCAATGTTCTGGATGCTAAAGCCCAAATGCCGTAGTGTGATCTGCAAGCTCCTGAGTCATTCAAACTTTGTCAATCTAGCTGCATTTCACACTCCTGCTAAATTTTCGCCCAGTTTCATAAGTCCAGTTCCATCATTCATGGGATTATACTTTTGCACTTGCTATTTTCTCTGTTTACGTCACCTGAATTTCTATTAACTTAATTATAAATGTTAACATGCTTTCTCCCCTAGAAGCCTTCTCTTGCTGCCCTATCTTCAACAAAGTCTGTCTTGTCTCATGTCATCTTCTCCACATCAATGTGAGCACCAAAGAAAAAACTAACTATAGCCTTTGAGTTTACAGGGACTTTCAATGTACGTGTCACCTAGCAATCACTCCTTAAAATGGTTTGTACTAATTAACCCATTGATTAGTATTAAGAATAATTACTAGTAAAGTGATTACAGTGGTTGAATATTTTGCCTACAATAATCCACAGACCATCTTTTTATTAACTTGATACATTAGGTTATCTTAGTGCTACATAGAAATCACTCTTCTAAATCACTCTAATTTTAATTTTGACTTAATATTTCTTTAATAATGGTATCACCCACCAATAAAGGAGAGCAGGATCACCAGCAAGACAAGGAGCGCACAGATGCACGGAATCAGGACCAGCAGCAAAAAGCGAAGGATATTAGCTGTGGCCAGCTTCTGTGAGCAGCCATCTCCCATGTTATTGTCATCAGCTCCCAAGACCTAATGTAAAAGAGGAAGATGAAACATGGTTTTAATATTACAAATCAACCAATGCGTGCTATGAAATTTTATATTATAGTCATCCATTCAGAGCAACATTCGTAAGAGATTTTATTGAGTGTACATAAGAGCGTGAAATGAGGTTAGTCACAAAATCACACTCATAAACAAATAGCTGTATGTGGGTAGAGCAAAAATCACCTATTTTTGAAACATTTTTTTCAAAAGCAGATGAACGCTCACTGATTTTTCCAATTTGAATTTTTGTTTGCATCATTCCAAAAGACTATGGATTATGTGACAAGAATTCACCCTGACCTAGAGCTTTAAGCAAACACTCTATATACAATGATAAAATACTGGTGAATAGGTGGAGACAGGACAATAAGCCGATTTCATTCTCACTTGTCTCACTAGTTCTAACCCAAATCTGTATAAATCTGGATGAAAAAAGTTTTTGGACATGAATAATTCAGCAAGGTTAACTAGTACTTTTCATATATTTAGTGACAAGTTGAATCATGAGGAAGAGACTGTCCTGTTTGCCAGTTAAATACTAGCAACTCCAAGGGCATTCTCAGTGGTCCACAGTGCCCCTGAGCCCACCTGTTGTGAGAAGATGATGGGGTGGTGATGGTTCAGATAAAGTTCTTGTCAAATATGTTAAATTGGGTTTAGTTCAATATCTTGTCAAAAATTATGTCAGGAGATTGGTTTATTAGAAAAGGCTAGCTGAAATATGATATGTCAAGAACTATGTAATGTTTTGAACAACCAACAATAAAAAATTTTAAAAAAAAGAAAGAAAAGGCTAGCTGAGGGCAGCAACTATTTCATCAGAAGTCTAAGATGGCTTTAAAAGTGCTTTGAGTCACTATAAGCCACTCCTCTGGACCCCTTAGTAAAAGCATGTCTCATGATTCCCCCTTGAACTTCTGACTCTGCATTTTCTCCTCGGACAGCTTGAAAGCTTGAGCTACCACCTCTGCGTACTCTCTTCTGAGCCTCTCTTGAGTCCTCAACTTCCCTTGGAGTTATACTGCACTGTTCATGTGCTTTGTGGACAATAGCAGCTCTTCTCAACATGTCCAGAACCAAAACTAATCTCTTCTATTTCTCTATCTCCAACTAGTTTCTCTCCTGACCTTTCTGTGTGTTCACAGAAACCCCACTATTCCTGAAATTTAGAGACTCCTCCCTCGTCCTTCATTGCTTTAGTCATCTTTTTCATTGCTGTGACTGGGAGACAGGACTAGAATGACACAGAGGAGGAAGAGTTTATTTGAGAATCAGTTTCAGAGGTCTCAGTCCACAGATGGCCACCTCTGTTGCTCTGGACCTGAGTGAGGCAGAGCGTCATGGCAGAAAGGTGTGGAACAGGAAAGGAGGTCAGAATGTGCCAATCAGGAAGCAGAGAGAGATCTCCATTCACCAGTAACAAAATATAAACCCCAAAGGTATACCCTGAGTGACCTAACTCCTCCAGTCACACCCTACAGGTCTACAGTTACCACCCAGTTAATCTCTAACAGGATTAATGCACCAATTAGATTAATGCTCTCATAATCCAATCATTTCACCTCTAAACTTTCTTGCATTGTCTCACCATGAGCTTCTGGGAACAAACACCTCATAACCAAATCATAGCAATCATCAACTTATCCCAAACATTACCTGGTGTTGTTAGTTCTTCCTCTGGAATAAATATCTAACTTTTTAAAAAAGGAATGACCTTTGAGGCAAAGCCTTATAATAACCAAGAAGATATTCTAACACAATGGTCCTCTAATATTGTCAGAACTTCCCGGACAGTCCATGACCATTCCCCAAAGAAATGCAAAGGAAACACAAAGACAAGCTTGATGGGTCCTTCCAAGTTGCAAGGCACACACAGGTGATACTCCATTTCTGTTTTATTCCTCCTTCATCAGAATCAGACTTGTTCACTGACACACATTAAAGCAGTGTTTATCACAAAAGGTAACAACATCTGTGATTTTAAGAATTCTCCATGAGAGACATTATTTGAAAGAACTTAGGATGTTGGCTTGCAAGGACTTGATTTCTTAGGTTCATGTCTTTCCTGGCTCATTCCCTCTGTATACCTGGTTTAAGGTATCAGCCAATGTGAGATCATTCAGAATTAATTTACAATTGATCTTCAAGAAGACTTGACATTGACACAATATAATATGAGATCTGCAATAGCACAATGATTACAACACCAACATTAGATTGACAGTACCCTTTGAGTCTTGTAGGTAATATTTCCCCAGTAAAAACAAGTATGGGACTGAAGGTTAAGAGCGTGGAAGAATCAACTAACTTCACTTCCTCAACAATTAGATAAGGAATGCCTAATAATCATAAGAAGAACAGTGATGAAAGCCAGGCACAGTGGTATATGCCAGTAATCCCAGCAATTCTGGAGGCTGAGGCAGAAAGATCACAAATTCAAGGCCAGCTTTAGCAACGTACAGAGACCCTAAGCAACTTAGCAAGACCCTGTCTCAAAAAAAAATTAATTTAAAAAGGGCTAGGGATGTGGCTCAGTGGTTGTTATGATTTGGATGTGAGGTTATCTCCCAAAAGCTCATGTGTGAGACAATGTTCAAGGTTCAGAGGAGAAATTATTGGGTTGTGAGAGTCTTGACCCCCATTAGTGAATTAATCCCCTGATAAGGATTAACTGGTAACTGAAGTGTTAGGGTGTGGCTGGAGGTAATGGTTCATTGGAGGCATGGTTATAGGGTACATATTTTGTAGCCAGACAGTGGGCTTTCTCTCTGCTTCCTGATCACCTTGAAGGCTGGTTCCCCCTGCCACACTCTTCTGCCATGATGTCCTGCCTCACCTTGAGCCCTGAGGAATAGAGTCAGCTATCCATGGACTTAGACCTCTGAAACCATGAGCCTCCAAATAAACCTTTGCTCCTCTATAGTTGTGCTGGTCAGGTCTTTTAGTTGCAGCAGTGAAATAGCTGACTAAAAGAGTGGTTAAGCCCCCCTAGTTTCATCCCCAGTACCAAAACAGGAAAACAAAAAATGAAGTATAGTGGTGGATATAACCATGATTTCAAACCAACTATCCCTTGAAAGCTCACAGTCTTGTAAGATAGAAGTATACACAAATAATATAGCTATATTTCAAGGAAGCAAATTATAATCTCTAGTCTATTAGACTTTCTTTGGCTCATCTGTTAATTTATATTTGATTGGTTCTTTATATTATCCTATCCTTCCCTCCCTGTCCTTCATTTTACTCTAGCTTCCCCATATGAAAGAAAACATTTTACCTTTGAGTTTCTGAGTTTGGTTAATTTCACTTAGCATAATATTCTCCATTTCCATCTATTTACTGGAAAATGTCATAATTTTTTTCTTTTTTATGGCTGAGAAATAAATACACACACACACACATATATGTATATACATATATATAATTGTAATATATCTGAGTAATATAAAAAATATATATATGTATATATATATATATATATATTACAATTTCTTAATCCACTCATCTATTCATGGACATCTGAGTTGACTCCATAAATCAGCTATTTTGAATTATGCTGTTATAAACATTGAGGTGGCTATGTCACTGTAGTATGCTAATGTATTGTTGTAGTATATATTGTTCTTTCTTTTGTTTTTTTGTGGGGTTTTGTTGTTGTTGTTTTGTTTTGTTTTTGGTGTTAAGTTTTTTGGGTTTTTTTGTGTATCCTGGATATTAATCCCCTATTGGAGGAGTAGATGACCAAGATTTTCTCTCATTTGGTAGGCTCCCTCTTCATGCCCTTAATTGTTTCCTTTGCTGTACATAAGCTCTTTAGCTTGATGGCATCCCACTTATTGATTCTTCGTTTTATTTCTTGCACTTTGGGGGTCTTATTAAGGAAATAAGTGCCAGCACCTATCTGATGGAGTGTTGAGCCTATATTTTCTTCTAGAAGTTGTAAAGTTTCTGGTCTAATTCCTAAGCCTTTGATCCATTTTGATTTGAGTTTTGTGCAGGATGACAGATAGGAGTCTAATTTCATTTTCTACATACAGCTATCCAGTTATCCAGCACACATTTGTTAAAAAGCTGTCATTTCTTCAAGATATATGTTTGGCACCTTTGCCAAATATCGTATGTACGGGTAAGTAGATTTGTCTCTGTGTCTTCTGTTCCATTGGTCTTCATGTCTATTTTGATGCCAATATCATGCTGGTTTTGCTCTGTAATATAATTTCAGATCAGGTATTGTGATACCTCCTGCTACACTTTTCTTGCTTAGTATACTTTAGCTAATCTGGGTATCTTATTCTTCCAAATGAATTTAAGAATTTTTTTTAATTCTGTGGAAAACATCATTGGTATTTTGATGGGGATTGCATTGAATCTATATTTTGCTTTTGGTAGTATGATCATTTTGACAATATTGATTCTGCCTGTCCAAGAACATGGGAGTCTTTCCATTTTCTAAGGTCTTCTTCAATTTCTTTCTTCAATGTTCTATAATTTTCATTGTAGAGAGCTCTTTTACATCCTTAGTTGGATTAATTCTCAAGGGTTGAATTTTTTAAGATTATTGTGAATGGGATACTTTTCCTAATTTCTTCTCGAATGAATCACTGTTGGAGCATAGAAAAGCTATTGATTTATGTGTGTTGATCTTGTTGTACTCTTCTACTTTACCAAACTCATTTATAAGCTTTAGAAGTCTTCTGGTGGGATTTTTTTTATATTCTAGATATAAGAGCATATTGCCCGCAAACAGAGATAGTTTGATTTCTTCTTATTTGTTTCCCTTTGGTTTCCTTTTCTTACCTGATTGATTTGGATAATGTTTTGAGGACTATATTGAATAAAAGTGGTGAGAGTGAACAGCCTTATCATGTTCCTGATATTAGAGGAAATGCTTTTAGTTTTTCTCCATTGAGTATGATATGGCTTTGGGTTTGTTATAAATGGCCTTTATGATGTTAACAATTTCCATAATTTTTAACCTAGAA